GGATTAGGCCCCCGTCCGCGTGGTCCCCTGAGACTGACAGGTGCAGTCCTGGAAGCCCCCACAGGACTGCGGAAACCCGGAAACCTCAATGCTGCGGACTGGAGACTAGCACCGCATCCTCGGGTCACCGCTTTGAACCACCAGCCAAGAATTTCGCTGAGAATCACTAGATCCATGCATGGGCACTGGATCCGGCTTGTCATTTCTGTCTTGACACTGGCCCTGAGGTGGGGCGCATCACAGCACGGAGGATCAGAGCTAAGCCTCCTGCATTCTTGCTCAGACACCAGGAAACATTCAATCGAGAGAAGCTAAAGGGGGTGGGGTGGGTGCGCACCTATAAATAGGGCATTTTGTATCAGCTGGAGATTCAGGGTGCATAGGCGCGAGGAGATTCTGATCCTGCCTGCATACTGGTGATCAGAGCCGGGTCCACCACTGGTGACCAGAGACAACTCTCCTCAGCATACACGGTGATACACAGAGGTAAGGGGAAAGCCTTTCCTATGGGCAGGAGGAACTCAGTAAGTGCGGCACGAGGGGGACACGCTGAGTGGGGAGTAATGGGGGGTTAATCATTGCACAGGGGACGAGCTCCACTCTCTAAGCAGAGACAAAGCTATTTGCCTAGAAGATCCACACACGGATCCGAGTCCAACCTGAAGCCTGGCCGAGGGTCAGCCAATGGTCTATGCTACTGTTGAGGAGTAACAGTGCTCCTGACTCAGACCTTGCTTATCTGTCTGGGTAAGCAATCTGAGGCCGCTGCCTTCAAGCATGTAAATGTCACAGATCCCTGGACGTCCCAGGTTAGCAATTCCAGAGAGCTTAAAAATGGAGCCGGCATAGACTCGCACCCTCAGCCCAGCCCCGCATGGCTTCCTGTACACACACTGGCACCCAGCTGTCTTACTGCTCATCACCGCCTTGCCAGGGGGCTCCCTGTCCCTCAGAGGCCTCTGGAGAGGCGAGACCTGGAGGGGCTCAGTCCGGGGTTCTGGATCTTCACACGATTCTCAGTGGTTCTGGGGAAGAGGCTCATAAAGAAGGGAATGTGGGAGGCAGAGTGATAGCACAGCAGGGAGGGCGTTTGTTTGCATGTAGCTGACCCTGGTTCCATGCTCAGACTCCATATATTTCCCCGAGTACCACCAGGAGTAATTCCTGAGTGCAGAGCCAGGAGTCACCTTTGAGCATCACTGTTTATGGATCCCTCCCCAAAAATAAAGAATGTGGGTCCAGCACCTGGCCCTAAGGACTGGCTTGCCATCTGTACATGAGTACGGCTGACCATCGGAATTTCGGGAAAGTATAAGGAGCTGCAGACTCTGGCAGGCCTGGGGGTGCTCCTGTCCTGCCCTGTCTTCCTCCCAGTACCACCCGGACCCAATGTGGGTGTTGGTGGAGTTCGCGGGAGCAGCAGCTGAGGGTCACTCGTTCTCTGGGCTGGGGTGGGTGCGAGCAGTGGGGTGGACTGCTGTGTCCTTCTCAGCAAGCACTGCTCTACACCCCTCTTCAGGAATGTCAGGTTCGAGCCACATGGACCAGCTCCAGCTGAAGCGGATGGGTGAGATGTGCATTGTCATTGATGAGAACGACCAGATCATTGGGGCTGAGACCAAGAGGAACTGCCACCTGCGGGAGAATATCAACAAAGGTGGGCATTGTGCTGGCCCAGGGCCCCTCAGGAGCCTCTCCCAGCTGCTCCCTCTCTGTTTGCTGTTCCAGAGCCGCCGCCCAGCACGATGAGAGCAGGAGGCTCAGGAACAGCGGCAACTGGCTGGGGTGGGCTAGGGTGGAGACCCACCCGCATTGGGTCTTCTGGCACACCAGGGGGACAGTCCCCACTGACCATCTCTGCAGATGCCTGCGGCGGGGTCCCTGTCAGACCCCATATGCAGGCGTGACCACCGCCCTCTGCCCGCAGGACTGTTGCACCGTGGCTTCTCTGTCGTCATCTTCAACATGGACAACGAGCTCCTGGTCCAGCAGCGGTCTGACACCAAGTACACGTTTCCAGGTGACGCCAGTCAAAGGCTTTGGGCCGCCACAGCACCTCCTCCCCATTGCTGGGGCTCAAGAGTTGGGGAGAAGCTGCCACCATCCCCAAGTTTGGCAGATTCACTCACGGGAGCGGGGACCTTTGCCAACAGCTCAGAGCTGTGGCTGCCCAGAAGGGGGGGTAGGAGGTGACCCCCCTGGTGTGTGTCTGCTAAGCACCCACCCCTCCTGCAGGCCACTTCTCAGACTCCTGCTCCAGTCACCCCCTGTACATCCCGGAGGAGATGGAGGACTCAGATGCCCTGGGGATGCGCCGGGCGGCCCTGCGCAGGCTGCAGGTGGAGCTGAGGATTCCCCCGGAGCAGGTACCTGGCTGGTACAGGGCTGGGCACGAGGTTCCGTCCAAGGTGCTGCTGATCAGTCTGTGGGCTCTAGGTCTGACTCTCCGGAGGTGCACAGTGCATCTGTGAAACTCTGCGCTGTTCTCGTGTCCCCTGCAGTTGTGCTCTGAACTGACACTGGTCTCCATGGGGTGATGGTGGGCGGTCGCCCTCCTGCTCACAGAATTCCATGCCCCCAGATCTCTCTCCAGGACATCGTCTTCATGACTCGCATATACCACCACAGCCCATCAGATGAGGTCTGGGGGGACCACGAGGTGGGCTACCTCCTGCTGGTGAGGAAAAACCTCACGGTGGATCCTGACCCCCGTGAGGTCAAGAGCTACCACTACCTGAGCCGGGAGCAGGTGGCTGAGCTCCTGGACAGGGCTGCACGGGGCCAGGCACAGGTCACGCCCTGGTTCCGAACCATCGTCGAGGGCCATCTCTTCCACTGGTGGGATCACCTGGAAGACGTGTCTTCGTTTGTGGATGCCAACACCATCCACGGCCGTTGAGAGCACAAGCAGCCCGGCTGCCCCCCCCCACACCCCTCCACGTGGCCTGAGCCCACTCCACACCTCCCTGCCCCACTCACCCCCGCTCCTGGCTCTAGAACATGGTGTGTCACACTCGGGCGGCAGGTATCTCTCAGAAACCAATGTGTCCCTGGCCCTGCCCGCAGTTCTAATCCTGGCCCTTCTCCTCTGTCTCTGGGCTCCCTTATACAGGGGCTGAACCTATCCTGGAACGTTCCTGACCCTCCGACTCCCTCAGCTCCAAACCCTGCTGGGGGTGCTTGGGTCCATCGATCTCCACCAAACCACACTCGGACAGGTCCTAGCCCACTGCACCGGGTGGCATGGAGACCTGGCAAACTTCCTAAAATGTGCTCATAGTTACTTTGAAATGGTAGAAGATCTACACTCAGCTATTGAAAATTTGTTCAGATGAAATCATTGGCTAAGCAGGGAATCAGAAAAATTGCTAATTCATGAACACGCTGAGTAACCCTAAAGCCAGCCCACTCTGCTTCAATGCTTATCCAGTTCTCTGCCTCTTGTAACAGTCTTTTTCCTGAGAATAAAACCTGAGCAAACATATGGAGCCTGGCCTTTCTTGGGAAGTCTCCATGGAGGTGGGTGCTCTGCAGGGAAGAGCAGGTTGGGTGAGGGCCAGCGCGAGCTCAAGAACCCTGGCATAATCCTCCTTCCTCCTTTTTCCAACTGACCCCAGCATGACACCAAACAGCTTCCCACACAGGTGCTGAGAACAGATATGCTTCCGCTGGCCAGGAGGGAAAGCACTTTTTCAGAGGAAGATTATTAACACTTAGTTTTGAGGTTGGAGGTTAAGGTTCAATCCATGGTACTGCAGAGGGGTCCCCCAAGACCACCAGGCTTACTTCTGAACATCAGAGCCAAGAGTCAAGTCACCTCTGTGTATTGCTGTATGTGGCCCAGTCAGCAAAATAACCCCCACCTCCAAAATATAACCCCAGGCCCAGAGCAATAGGGACAGCAGGAGCAGTGCTTGCTTTGTATGTGGCCGGCTCCAGCTCAGTCTCTAGCACCCTTTATGCTCTTCTAAGCACAGCCAGGAGGGATCCCTGAGTGCAGTCAGAGTGGGTGTAGCCCCCAAATAAAACACGGGACCTTACACAGCTCCTGATGTGGCAATGAAGGCGAACAGTCACAGGCTTCCTGCCTGGTGCAGACATGCTTCCCTTGGTCCTGCCCTCCCACCTGCCGTGGCTCCTCCCCACCGTATGCTAAGAAGGCAAGTAGATTTGCCTAAGGTGCAGGACCACTGCAGTCCAGTGAGCAGGGCACTTCTCTGGTACAAGTCCAACCCAGGCTCAATCCCCAGCACTGTTATATGGGCCCCCAAGGCTGCCAGGAGTGATCCCTTAACAGAGCCAGAAATGAGCCCTGAGCACTGACAGGGGTGCCCGAAGAATCAAAAACAAACAAACAAACAAACAAACAAAAATCCACCCACCAATCACATCATGAGTAGCTTCCACCTTCAAAATGATCGGTCTTGGGAAAAACAAGAACCAGGGGAGGATGGACAAGAGGCGCCTGGTTCCTCCACCTCAAGGGCACTGGAGTGCAGTCCTGTCAGGTTTTTTTACTCCACGTGCCCAGGGATCACACCAGCCAGTGCTAGAGCACAACAGAGTACCAGTTGAAACTGCAGCTGTCCACAAGCAAGGCCAGGCCTCACTACCTCCTGAACCATCTCTGTGGACAGGATGAAGGTCACCTTCCTGACCTTCGCAGCTTCTGCTGAGGGTAAACTGTGCGTGACACACGTACTTGGGCCTGAACCTAGGACTGTGCAGCTGTGCAAACCAGGCCTGCCAGTGGGGGCACGACCTCCTCTTTGACCCCCAGTGAAGGCAGTTTTCCAGTGCTGCCATTCGGCTCCAGAGGACACCTGCCACCCAGGGCCAGTCTGAGGGCAGCAGGGGACTGGCAGAGCTTTGAGGGTCCATAACATCTCTGCCCAGGATGGTGCCAAGCCCTCACCCCGCAGGCTGTATTGGCTTCTGGGCCCAGGGGAGGTGTTGCTGTCCCACACAGCAAAGCTGAAGAATGACACCCGTGTGTTTGAGACATTTTATTTCAAAAACAGCATTTTTTGCTTTGAAAACATCACCTTCTCATTTTCTCCCCCAAACTGCCCAAGGTGACGATTTAGAAAAGAAAGAAAACTAAAGCACCCCAAGCCCATCTCTTCTTTCAGACTTCTATTTTTGGCTAACGATGATGACGGCAGATCCCAGAGGCGCAGGCTAAAGGGTTGGCAGGCAGGTGGCAGCGGGTCTGGGGGCTTCTGTGTCCATCCACAAGTGCCTGTGTACCTTCTATTTCTTTTAGTAACTGCATTTCTTATTTTTTTTTGGTTCAGGGGCCAGTCAGCAGTGCTCAGGGAAACGCCCAACGCAACGCTTGGGGACAACGTAATGCTGGGGTCTGGCCTCGCCCCTGGACAGAGCCTTTGCATCAGTCCCCTGAACTCTCTCCCTGACCTATTTGGAAATTATTTTGTTCCATTTTGTCTCCAGGTCACGGCGGTGCTCAGGGGACTATAAGGGGTCCTGGGGGTTGAACCCAGGTTGGTTATGTGCCAGGTACTATTGCTCTGGCCCTCAGTTTTCAAATTTTTAATCTCTATTATTATTTCCTGTGCCAGAGATTAAAAGCCGGGCTTCAGGTACCAAGAGGAGATGCAAGAGGCCTGGAGTGTCCTGCTGAGCTGCCTTCTCAGGCCTTGTCCTAACTATTATTTTTGGCTGTTTGGCCACACCTAGTAGGTCCAGAGACATGGGACGGCAGCTCCTGCCCATGCTGTGAGCGCTGGCACACTGCACCAGAGGGACCAAGCTTGAGCTGTCCAGACTCTGCAGCTTACTCAGAGCTTTGAAGACACACATGGCTGTGTGCAGGGCTTGTGCCTGGCTGTGCTCAGGGACAGAGTCAGCTCTGCTGCCAAGCAAGGCAAGCCCTACACTCCCCGTTATGACCTCTCTGGTCCCTGGCTTTTGTTTCCAAAGGTCTTTTCTTTTGCAGTGTGAAAGTAAGATTTTTTTCCCCCATCAAAAACAAATATCAATAAATCTTCCCAGTTCTACTAATCTGATTAAAACTCCATTAAAGGCAGAAAGTATCACCGGCTCAATGTGTCCTTGCTGAGAGCCCACACCAGATAGCAACATTTTAGCTCCTACACCGCTCCTGCCCACGGACTGCCTTGCTCCGCAGCCTGTGACCAGCGTGGACGAGCACCTAACTGTACCTCAGCAGCGGATGGCCACTACCTGCGGTCCTTTTTCCCAGCTTTCCTCTTTCCGGACAGCAGGTGCTTGGGCTTCATATCGAATACATGTCTGTCGGCCTCCCCCTTCTTCCCCAAACGATTCATCTTCTTCTGCGCGTTCTTCATCATAGTCTTGGCCTTCTTCACCATCTGCAGAGGAGAAGCATGTTTCAAGTGGCTGCGGCAGCAAGTCAAGGTGTTTTCCAGCTGGACCCTCTGCTGGGGCAGACACCCCAGCCTTCCCACGCCCTCTCCCCAGCAGCAGAGGAACAAAACACCGCCTGTGCGGCAGAGGCCGTATGTCACTGAGGGTGAGACCAGACGCGTCAGCACCTCTGCCCCAACTCCTCTTCCAAGAGGCAGGATTCCAGCTGGCAGAGCCATATTCACCCGACGGGCGCAGCCACAGATGCAGCCCCGATGGGTAACTGCAGGCCTGGGGATATTGGCCACAAAAACCAGTATCTACCAATGTTTTCAACTCAGTCCCAGTGGTCTCGTGACAAGGAGGTGCTTGCCATCCCTCCAAGCCACCCCCAGAACTCACTTTTTGTTATAAAAAATTACATTTAGTGGGATTGCATACATGCGAACAACTGAGAGAAATCACCCCTCGGGGCCATGATGCCGTTAACAGAGAAGATCACATGTTGACCACACACAAGACTCACCTTGACATCTCGAAGACCAGACACATCACGTGGAGTTCGCGAGCAACTGCGGCTGCGGGCCACGGAGGAAGGCGGCACAGAGTCTTCTCGCTTCCTTTTCCTGGTGGTGCTGCGAGACCTCCTGGCCTGGACTGCGTAATGGGCCTGTGAGCACAGCAGCAGATGGGAATGGGTCTGTGAAGTCCCCGCCGGGAGACAGTTTACGAGCTCGAAGACCCAGTCCTGACTGCTCCACCTAGGCAGTGCCAGGACAGGCTGACCCAGGCCCTCCAACCATTCACTGCAGTGGCTTTCGCTGCACCTCTAGGTTTTCACTGAACTCTGAGCCTCTCTCCACCCAAACACCTGGCCACTACTGCAAATCCAACTGCAAGGCTGAAAGACACACAGACTCAAGGACTGCTCCTCAGGTGCAGAGGCTGCCCTCTCCCCATCCGTCACCTGAGAGGACAGCAGCAACTCCAGGAAGCTCACCCAAGCACACGCACGCACACACACAGAGATTCCCGTCCACTCCAGTGTCCCCAAAGTGGGGACAGTAACAGCTTTGGGTGCAATTAGAGGGTGCTCTCTGCTTGTTCTCATTAAGCTCCGTTTCAGGGGCACCAAGCCAGCAAAGTCTGGGGATCTCTGATCTAATCAGTCAGGACGATGCTGTCGCTTCACTCTGATAACTTCACTCTGGCACCTGCATGTCCTTTCGGGCAGATGTGCAGGCACTGCCTAAGGCAGGGCTCTTCCCCTGGAAGAGCGGGGTAACACTGCAAGTCCATGAAGAAACATCCCGGCTGCTGCGGACACTGATGCTGACTCCCACGTAAAAAATGCTCCAGGGGGAGGGATTTGGGGACATGCTTAGCAGTGCTCAAGGGAGAGGTGCTGCTAGAAATGGACCTGGAGTCAGCCACGTGCAAGTGCCTCACCCCTATGCTCTTTTGGGTCACACCCAGCAATATACTACTCCTGGCTTTGCACTCAGGAATTACTCCTGACGGTGCTTGGAGGACCATATGAGATGCCAGGGATCGAACCAAGGTCGGCCACATGCAAGGCAAATGCCCTACCCACTGTACTACTGCTCCAGCCAAAAAAATGTTTTATTTTTTTGCTTTCTGGGTCACACCCGACAATGCTCAGGCATTACTCCTGGCTCTGCTCGGGGGACCATAAGGATGCTGGGAATTGAACCCGGGTCAGCCACAAGGCAAACGCCCTACCTGCTGTACTATCACTCAGCCCCAAAATGCATCTTTTAAGCTGCAATCTCAAAAGAAACTTCTTGGGAAAAAAATGGGGGGTGGGGGTTTGCTCAATCAGTTTAGTTCAGAGCTTACTCTTGGTGGTGTTCAGAGGACTAAACAAGATGCCAGAGATTAAATCTAGGTCAGCCGTGCACAAGACAAGTGTCCTACCCGCTGTACTATTGCTCTGGGCCCCAAAACTAAATTTTTTCATTGAATTAAAAACACAAGAAAATGTAACTAAAAAGATGCTTTTATACCCCAGAATAAAAATTACAAGAAAAAACTGGAGACAATACATCAAGCAGGATGTTTGCGCTACACAGGGCAGACAGACCCTTGTTTGATCCCTGTGTGCAGAGCCAGGAGTAGGCCTTGTGCACTGTGGGGTGTGGTCCAAAAGAAAAACAAGGGCTGGAGAGTTACTACAGAGGTGCAAGGCACGTGTCTTGCTGTGACTGACCCTGGTTCCCTGTGCATCACCACAACTGATCCCAGAGCACAGAGCAAGGACAGTCCCTGACACTGATAGGCATACACCCACCAAAGAAGAAAAAACCAACAAAGATGAATTTACGGGTTTCTATCGCCAACAGTCTTTCTCCTCTCTGGTAGAAACACAGCTTTCTTACCCCTCATTTTTGGTATTTCCCGTTCACCTGGATATGAAAATTTCTATCATAAAATGCAATAAGGCACTTGCGATACGCAAACAGACAAAAGCACCCAGGGAACCCAGACAGACTAACACGCAGGCCCCTTAAACCCAGGGCCAGAGTAGGGAGGCTAGACCACAGGACGGGAGTGTGCAGGCCCACAGCGCAGTCAGAGCGGCCCGAGGCTGACCCCTACAGGCCTACTGAGCAATCGCACCCAACTCTGTCCACCAAATCCTGCAGGTTCCAGATCCCTGCCTCTTCAGGTCCCCAGATCTGAAAGACACCAGACACCCACCCCGCCCCAGCACTTACGCTGTCTTTATCATCCATATCAACTCCAAGGCTACGCATCTCATTCTCCATGACATTGCGCTGAACCTAGGAAGGGTGACAATTTGCAGTAAGCAGATGAGTCTCACGGGGTGTGACAGTCAGCCCCAGAAACAGGCTTCTGCCAGGACCCATGACAGAACCTTAACTTGGGCTCACACTCACTCAAACCTGTGATCCGTGCTTCCGGCAGGACTAGAGTCCACCAGGGCTCTGGGATGCAGAGCGGACAGTGTGACGGGTCCCCTGTTCCTCCGCTCTGGAGCCATCACGGCTGTCCTGACCCTGCTCCTCACCCCCCTCAGCCCACCCCCATGGCCTCGGGGCTAAGCACAGAACTGCCCTGTGACAGGGGATGTGTCCCAGGACACTGGTAGAAGCTGGGGACAGGGGCTGAGAGAGGATTGTGGGAAAGGCACTCCTTGTGCACATCATACCCTGGCACCATATATGGACCCCAGGAGCGACCCGGGTGTAGCCCCCAAACCAAATAAGGCCACTGAGGAGAGATGCTGACTGAGTCGAAGCTGCCGATCGGGCTGAGGCCAGCTCAGCTTCTGTGAACTGCACAGGGCAGCCCTGACCCTGTCCAACGCTCCACATCCGCAAATAAGACCCCTTGGAAGGAACCTGCACACCAGGACCAGAGTGCCAGGACAGTGGCCAGGAAGCGCAGTCCTGCTGGAGGGGCAGCATGGCAGGCAGGTTCAGCCTTACACAGCAGACCCAGGTTCAACCCTGGCACCCCACAGTCACCCAAGCCCACCAGGCCTGATCTCTGAACACATCCCCCCAGCAAGGCCTGACCAGCAGAAGTCGCCTCACCTTCTTGGCTGTCCGTGGCATCCGAGGCCCCTGCGTGTTCTTCTCCTTGGATTCCAGAATCTTTAGCTTCCTCTTCTCTCGGATTTGCTTAGCCAACTGCCGGATCTCCGCCATCTCCTCATCCTCACTTTCAGGCTCACTGTCGTACTCTCCAGCGGCCACTCGGAGCTCTTCTTCCTTTTCCAACTCTTCCAGTTTCTTTCAAGAGAATCATAACACAACCAAATCAATCCTGGCCCCTCACACTAGTGCAGCTCCCACAGCTTTGCAGGATGCACACACGTCAGCTGGACGCGCCAAGAGGACAGGCACGGAGGAGGTGCCACAGGGACCCTCAGCTCCCAGCCAAGGTCAATGCAAACAGGTCTGACTCATGCTGCAGGTTACTGTCCAACCCAGTGTCTTCCAGAAAGCCTCCCTGGCCTCGGCTAGCCCAGAGCAGCACACATGGAATAGTCCATGCAACACAGGGAACCCAGTAGGGCCAGCCAGCAGGGTTACATTGGGGAGCCATGGAAACAGGAGGAAAGGGAAAAAGCAACCAACCAAGGTAGTGAGGTGCCAGGTAGGCAGACGGAACATTCCCAAGGAACACCTGGGACAGGGGAGTTACAGAGGCCACACCGGGGACGACCCCTGATGCCCACCATAAGTCAGAAGTCACAGTGCCAGACAGGGCGCGCGGGGAGGGCTCATGCCAACAGGAGCAGCCTGCGGGCCGGTGCATGAATGTGGAGACCCTGTTCCTGAGTCCAAGGCCCAGGCAGGACAGCTTTGGTTTCAGTATCCAAGAGGAACGTGTGGACTCTTGAGCCAAGAAAAACCCAAGGCAAAGGAGAAGCGAGAGGCAGGGACAGAGAAAGGCTGTTCCCTCAGAGCTGCACCCAGAGCAGAGTCACAGCCACACGGCCCAAGCGACACGCCACACACCTGCATGATGTCGGGGTCGATGTAGTCGGCCAGGTTGTGCCCTTCCCAGATCTCTGGGATCTTGTCGTGCTTCTCGGAGGAGTTCATGATGTCCCAGTACTCTGCAGGTCAGGAGATAACACACGGAGGAGTTCACGACACCTTTCAGCACTACATGCCGGAGCCCCCAGAGCCACATCAGGTCCATCACATACAACAAAGCACAGGCACCCTTCAATAGGGCATTAGCAGAGGCACATGTAGCCAGTGTCTCCCCCGGGGCACAAGTACCGGAAACCAGCCCCGTGTGTGAACAGGCCCAACAGAATGCAGGGCCCTCGCCGTGTCCAGCCAGCCCACAGTGATGCCCGCATATGGCAGAGAAGCAGAACCCAGGAGCCTGTGCAGCGGGCACAGCCAAGCAGCTACCAGCAGAGGCCCAGCCTGTCGCCAGTGCCCTCCAGCACTTACTCTGGAGGTCCAGGATGTAATCATCCCCCATCTCCAGTTCGATGTCGCGCTCCTGCAGGAACAAAGACAAACCCGTGAGAGCCGGTGGCCAAGCTCACCTGACACCTCTGCATACTGGCAAGCTCAAGACCTACTTCTGGAAGGGAGCGTTAAGGCTCCCGCATCATAGACAGCACCTCCTCCAAGGTCCCCTTCCTGCCCTGTGCTCCGGAGCAGCTTCTCAAGAGGGACCCCCACAACCTACCCTTTTCTTCTTGGGTTCTCCGATGTCCATTCTCTTCCTTCGTGCCACCACTCCCTCTGGGATGAAGGGGGGCCGCTCCTGGAAGGAAGTTGGGGAACTGGTGTGAAACGTCTGTCTGAAGGCAGAGGAACAGAGAGGACAGGCTGGGAGCCACCTCTCCTCTTGTCCAGATCACAGCTAGACCAGCCCAAGCCCCCAAGACCTGGGCGGACAGTAAGGCAGATCCCAGAAGGAGTCCACACTCTTGGTCTAAAGCTTACTTGAAAAAAATGCAAACGCAGCATCAAAATTATCAAGGGAAAGAAGACACTGAGAGGAACAAAGCAGCTCTGAGAGTGCAAAGTGCTAAACAACAGGCCCTCAGCAGGAGCCACAGCTCTGGACAGACGCTCACTCAGAGCAGAGCTGGGGGACGTGCACCTACTTCCTAGGGCCAAGGCAGTTTTTGGAGAGCGACAGCTTCCATTCCAGCCACACTAAAAACCAAACCAGCAGAGAGCACACCTGCAGAGCCTCCAGAAAAGCCCCCAAAGACAGTAATGAGGTTAGAACCACAAAGTATGGGTTTTGATGTTAACAAAATATCAAAAAAGCAGAGGATTGGGGCCACGGAGAAGATAAAGTAAGTACAGCGCTTGCCTCTGAGTACAGGCTACCTGGGTTCAATCCCCAGCAGGAATGATCCTTGAGCACAGCCCACAAGTTCAGCCCTGAGCACCACCAGGTGTAACCCCAAAACAACCCCAAAAAGAGAAGAAAAACATAGGCAGAGGACACATGCAGGAGAACCCAATGTAAGGAGCCTCCCACAACTGCTCTAAAGCAGCCCATTTCCTGAATGTAAAATGCAGACCACATTAAGGCAGGACTACTTTCCGGAGTAACAGAAACAGCAACCCGGGCTCCGGGGCCCCGACGTCCCGCAGTCACACCCAGGGTCTGGCTAAAACCAACACTTCAGACCACTTACAGACACAAACCTGCACTCAGATGTGTGCAGAGCAGAGAACAAAGGGCAGGGGGCCAAGGAGATAAGACAGAAGGGAGGGTGCTTGCCTTGCACGCAGCCAATCCGGGTTCCATCCACAGCACCCCATATGGTCCCCAAGTCCCAACAGGAGAGAGCCCTGAGAGCTGCGAGGTGTGGCCCAAAAAGTACAAATAAATTTGAAAACTAAAAAAAAAGGAGTGGGCTGGAATAAAAGGGGAGGACAGGCTTGGGCCTGTGAAGCCTGGGACTCAATCCCTAACATCACGCTCACAAAAAGGGGGTGCGGGGTCAATCTCTGCTCTGCCTGTACACCATCACTACAGGGCAACGCACCAAACCCCAAAAAAGCGAGCACAGCAGAGAAAGTGGCTCCCTCCTGTGCTGGCCCCCGCAAAGGACAGCGTGGCTGGACTGCACATGGTGAGGGTGCCCCGGCCCAGCTCCCTCCAGTCCTCCAGAGCACCCCAGGACCCCACCTTGTCATCCCGCTTGTTGGGCACAGCTAGATGCAGTCGGTTCAGCACCTCGTTCACCTTGTTACTCTTCATTTTGGCTTCAACTCGATGAGCCAAAAGCCGGTCACAAGCCTGAGGTGAAGAAACACAGGAAGTCACAGGGCCTGCACAGGAAGTCCTGCCCTGAGGCCCAGGCACAGGGGCCTGAGATGCACTGAAACAGGACCCCAAGTGCTGTGCCAACCCTGCCCTTCCAGCTGAGGCAGACCAGGGAGAAGCGGTGCAGGAGCGGGCGCCCCACCACCCCCTGGTGCCTGCAGTCCCCAAAGACTTTCCACACAGCCTGTGACAGGGTCAGGGGCCAACACCCACTTCTCCCACCTGGAAGGTGACGATGGCAGAGCTCACTGCTGGTGGAGACACTCACCTCTGTCTTCACCTTCATCACGCCCTCCTCGGTCAGGGTGCTGGTCTCCACCACAGGATAACCCTCTGCCTGCAGCTCGGCGAAGATTTTCTAATACAAAAGGGGCCAGAGATACATGACTCCTCCCTGCATGGGGCCCCAGACACCTACCCTTTACAGCAAAAACAGCTCTCTCGCTCTCTCTTCTGACCCCTTGGCCCAAGGAGACAGCTCCGAGAGCTGAGCACAGCGTCGCATACAGGCGCCCTAGGATCCATCCTTGGCCCCCGCAGTCCCTCCAAAATAAAAACGTGAAAATCTGAACTATCGGGAAACCATTCTGTGAATGGCCTACAGGGTGGAGACTCACCTTCCAGAAAGGTCTCAGGTAAGACAGAGATGGCGCAGCCTGCAGCCCCGACCAGCCAGTATCACATGGGGCCAAAGCTGAGGGCCAGGATGAGGCATTTGCCCCATGGACACCCCACACTGAGCGGGCATGTCACTGACGGGCTGCACCAGCGAGACACCCACTCCTTCCCCACAGGCTCCAGAGGGGCAGCCCAGAGAGTGCTGGCACAGACCACCACGCCCGGAGGCCCACCTGCTCCACCCGTGGCAAACACCCTGGTCACCTCCACCAAGTGGGTCTGGAAACAGCTCCTGACTAATCCTGACAGGACTCATTATGTCAGGTCAGTCTGGCCTGGTAAGACGCCCTCCCACGGTCTGACCCGAAGTCACAAGCGGGAAGGAAAGGCACAGGGATACCGCACCTGGTCATCTTCGGCAAGCTCAGCGATCCTCCTCACATCACACTTGTTGGCAACGACAAGGAGAGGCTTGTTGACAAAGAGCGGCCTGATGTTCTGGAAGAGCGCCAGCTGCTCCCTCAGCCCGTGTCCACACTGCTCCGACAGGTCCATCACATACAGGACGGCGGCACGCAGGTGGGCCAGTGCTGTGATGGCCTGCATCTCGATGGTGTTCCGGTCCTCCAGCGGGTGGTCCAAGATCCCAGGAGTATCCACCACCTAGGGGTGATGCTTATCACTACAGAGCAGGGGCAGACACCCCAGACCATAAGAACACAGACAGCCAGAGACAGCCCAGAGGATGGCGCATACACGCAAGAGATCCCACTTCCCTGCCCCCTCAAGTAGAGCACCAAGGGCAGCCACTGCCTGTGACCCAAACACGACCGCGGGGCCAAGCAAGTGGCCCGACGTAGAGAGCCCAACTCCCACAGGACACGCTCCAGGCTCCACCCTTGGCTCTGCAGGACTGACAGGAGCCTGCAAGAACTGAGGAAAGGGCTACAACCTCTCCTCAGTGACAGCACCTGCAAAGGTGGGAGCTGCCCCATGTGAGCAGCACAAGAGACCAGCGACAGGGCCAGAGACCTCAGAGAGCGTCTGCTCCTGTAGACCCCCAGGGGCTAGCCCTGCCTCTCTAGGCCCTGACCCGCAGACCCTGCCTGCTGCGACCACAGCCTCACCTGCCAGCGCAGATACTTGTAGTCCATGTGACCCACAAACAAAGACTTGGTGGTGAACGCATACGGCTGCACGTCCACATCTGCTCTTGTTACCTGGAAGACACCAATGCCACCATAAGCTCTGCCCCAACTCCCTACCCATTGCAATGGCCCCATGTTGTACGGTATGATAGAGAAAACCCGGTAGAGACAAAAACAAGAGACCCACAGGAAGAGTAGCGGGAATAGCAGCGCCACCTCCCAGAGACAGATGGACCGTGCACGGACCAAATCCAAGGACAGCTGCCCTGCCCCAGTACTGCCCCGAGAGGCCCCAGGAAGGCGCTGTCCATGCACTCCACACGATACATCCCAACAAGGAACTGAACTCCACATTCCACAGGATACAACTTGTCACCCTGTGAGGGACACTCAATACCTCTAGACGCACTCAAGTTCAGCCCTGGCAGTAGGAAGTGGGCAGAGTCCAACCACTGCCGTGAGCAGACTTCCCCCACAGCTCTTGCTCACCTTCTTAGGGGCCTGGAGCTCACCGATGAACTAACTCCGCCTAGTGGGAGATGAACTACTGACCACTTTACAGGGTGCTGATACCACCAAAATCCAAGAGCCAACAAGCACAGCCCACACCAGTCCGAGAACACACACAGCAGCATCTCCTAGAACAGCTCAGAAGTCTGTTACAGGCACTGGGGTGTGGGTAACACGTGAGACCAAACCAGCATGGCCCCTATGAGAGTGTGCGGAGTCCTGAGGGGTCAGTCATCCCACAGAGAAGGTGGCGCTGAAACTAATCCCCCACCTCCCACTCAGGGCCAGGTCTGCACTGCCTCCTGTGCTCAGGCAACACAGTGCCAGGGACCACCAGGGAAATACGTAGTATCACAGAGGGGCCACGGGGTACTAAGACTCAATCTTGGAGCCTCACACATACCAGGGACACACTCCAGTCCACTGAGCTGCTTGTTTCCCTGGCCCTAACTAACCTTATTGATGAAGCTGGACTTGCCGACATTTGGATAGCCACACAGAAGTAGGGTCCTCGTGTTGGGGTCGATGGTTGGCAGTCGGGACAAATGCTGCCTCACTGTGAGAAGAGTTAAAGGGGTCAGAGCGACGACACGGTGGGTAGGGCTCGTCTTACACCTGTCTGACCCAAGTTTGATTCCTGGAACACTAGAAGGTGCACCGAGCCCAGCCAAAACTGACAGAACTGATCCCCAAGCAGAACACTAGTGTGTGTGTGTGTGTGTGTGTGTGTGAGAGAGAGAGAGAGAGAGAGAGAGAGAGAAGAGAGAGAGAGAAGAGAAAGGAGAAAGGGAAGAGAGAGAGAGAACAGGGAGAATACTGAGTCTGAAACAGAGATGAATTAAGGGTCTGGGTTCAGTTCCTGATACCTTATATACCCCTGAGTACTTCCATAAGTGGCCCACCATCCGAACAGTAACAAACCTAGGCACCATTGTGGAAGAGCTAACAGTAGCTGTTCCATTAATAACCACCCACCCAAATCCTGCTGGGCAGATCAGGCAAAATAACTGGACCACTGTCACGCCACCTCTAAAATAAAGCAAAACCATCGCTTCCAACCCCAGAGACCCAACATCCTAACAGCACACAAGAGACTCAGGCTCAGCCCAGCAGCACCTTGTTCCAAATACTCCAGGCTCTGCCTCTGCCGCTTGACGATGGTGCACATGCGCCCCAGGGCGGCACGCTTGAGCTGCTTGCAGCGGTACAGAGAGTCCCCGTACTTCAGGAGCCGCACATAGTCCTTGGCAACACTGAAACAGATGTGGGTGAGAACTTTCCTCAAACAACACAGAGAGGGACACCACAACACACCTCACTAGGCTGGCACTATCTGTGGTCTCCCAACCCTGCCAGGAATGATCCCTGATCCCTGAGCAGAGCCAGGAGTAAATTCTGAGCACCACCAAGACAGCCTCCCCCTTAAACAAAACAATTTCTTTGAAAAAGTCCCTTACTTGTCCACTAGATTTTTGGCAATATTTATTTGTCCCAGAGCCAACTTGTAATGGTCCTTGTCGTAGAGGATGTTCATCAGGTCGGCATAAAAGGGGTGGATGTCCTAGAGTGAGAGGAATGGGCAGTTACTCACTTGTCACCTAGCCCTCCGCTTCCTAGGGTCACCTCACTGCCACAACCTGGCGGGTCTAGGACACACAGCAGGAAGCAGCAGCCCTCTCCTAAGCAGCTGCCCAGGTGGCCAGGCTGCACCTCCAGACCCAGTCCCGGATTCTCCCTCCCCCTGGCCATTCACACCCACAATGCTCCCACTTCTCTGGTCTCTGGAAGAAAGGTGCCCGCAGTGTCCCCTCCAGCCCCCAGGTCACGCTGCCTCCCCAAAGTCCCAGCCCCGCTGGGGGCATGTCCACAGCTCACCCCTGCCACCTGCACAGCTGAGTCCAGGCTCAAGTCCCAGGATGTCCCTGAGACTGCTGACCCCATCCACACACTTGCTCCACCCGGTGCGCTCTCTAAGGCTGCTGCTCTCTGCTCTGGCAGGCAAGCCCTGCTGCGATGGTGCAGCCCTGCAGGGTGTTTGCCTCACACAGCTGTGAGGGTACAGCAGGCAGGGTGTTTGCCTCGCACATAGCTGAGACGGGACAGCAGGCAGGGTTTTGGCCTCGCACAGCTGAGATGGCCAGCCCTGTTTCCTTGGGTTGATTCCTGGCACCACATGTGCTCCCGCAGCCCACAGGAGTGGTCCCTGAGCACAGAGCCAGAGCCAGGAGTGAGGGGTGACTAGACCCCGCCTGCCTAAACAGAGATGAGAGCTGGCCCACAGCGTGGCAAAGTGACAGACGCAGTCCCCGCAAAGCGCCCCTGCCGAGACCCCGGAGTTCCACGGCCACGGTCACGGTCACACAGGGCCGGGAACCAGCCCTCCCCGTCCTCCGGTCCGTCCTCCCCATCCCTCCCCCGTCCTCCCCGTCCCTCCCTTCCCCCTCCCAGTCCCTCCCGTGTCCCTCCCGACCCCCTCCCCTGTCCCCTCCCTGTCCCTCCCGCGGCGAGAGGCCGGCGGGGCGCGGGGGTCTCGGCCGGGTCCGGCGAGCGGGCACTCACGTCCAGCCGCGGGAAGTCGGCCAGGATCTGCGCGAGCCGGTCGTGGTAGTTCTGCTGCGTGAACTTGACCTTACGCATGTAGAAGTGGCGGATGCGGTGGATCTGGTAGTGCCGGTGCACCACCGTAGGGGTCTTGCGCTGCGTCCTGGACAGCGTCAGGTCGATGAAGTCCTGCGGGGGCAGCGGTCAGAGCCCGGACCCGCCCGCCCGCCCGCCCGCCCGGCGACCCGCCGCTCACCTTGGCCGACGGCACCACCGTGATCTTCTTGAAGTTGTAGTGCGCCATGTCTGCGCTACACGCGGCCGGGCGCCACTTCCGCCGGCCACGGCGCGGGCGTCACTTCCGCTAGCGTCTCTTCCGGCGCCCCGGGCTCCGGGCACGGCCTCCGAGCGCGCCGTGCAGTCGGCAGCGCCCCCACGCGGCCCGGAGGTCTCCGCGGAGGCGCCTGGGAGGGCTGCGGGCCCGAGGTGCGGCCCGGCAAGGCGCCGGGCTCGGGCAACCACAGCCCCCGCCGCTCCCAGCCTCTGGGTCTGCGCTCGCGCGCACGGGCGTCCTAGACGCCCGTCCCTGCCCCCAGCGTCCACACGGCCCCCACATCCACACCGGTCCCTAGCGTCCACACAGGCCCCGTGTTCACGCCTGCCCCAGCGTCCACACCCGCCCCACACACACACATCCACACCTGCCCCCAGCGTCCACACCTGCCCCCAGCGTTGACACTGGCCCCCAGCATCCACACCTGTCCCCAGAGTCCACACCGGCCCCCAGCGTCCACACCTGCCCCCAGTGTCCTCACCTACTCGCATGCTCCACACCCTCCTCCCCCGTGGCCGCCTTGGAAAACCTGCACAGTGCAGAGTGTCTGAGTGTCCGTGTGCCCTGCAGGAGGATCCCAGGTGTCTTCTCCAGTGTCAAGGGAAGTGTGTGGCTCTCAGTGACAGACTTGAGTCTGGGGCCTGTGTCTGCCATCTGGACGCTGGGCCCTCAGCCCACAGGCTCCCCACACTCTCCCAAGACAGGTCCTCTTGGGGGTCTAGGTACTGGTCCAGCTGCTGCCCTGGAGCCTGGGCTGGGCTGTCAGTCACTCTGCACCACATATGAAATGCGCATTGCCCCACAGTGTGGGTCAAGCTTCTGGGTCACCTTGGACCGACAATTGGGTTCTTAAGAGACATTTGAGGAGACAGAATGGCCACTGGTGGCAGGAGGGAGCGAGTCTGAGCCCACCAGGACGGAGGCTGGCATGGGGCGGGCACACCTTGGCACGGACTTGTGAACTCAGCCTCATCTGCTTTACTTTTCGGTGGCTGTAATTCCAACTGATGAAAAGTATGTTGTGTGCCAAGGACGTGCAACAAGGCTTCCTAAAAGGGTCCTTTGTGCAGGGATTAATGTTTTGGCCACCCCAGCTGTTCTCTCTTGCAGGGTGCTTGGACCGGCCTCCTCAGGTCACCGCCTGTCCCCAGACATTGGCTTCTTCCCCACACTCACGTTCTCTCCTGCACAACTCCCTTCAGGTGTGCTTGATTGTGATCTGGTCACTGGTGCTGTCACCATCGGCTTCTGCCCCTGCAGCCAGACCTGAAGTCATTTGTCCCCAGGGCCACGGAGTAGAAACCAGAAAGACTGAAAGTTCTAAGCATCCACGCCTGCCCTTCTCAGGACAGGGTCCTCCTGCACCACCACAACCCAAGCTGCCCTGGACCTTGAGCACTGCCCAGCCCAGGCACCCAGCACTGCCTCCCGAGCTTCATGCCCCTGCTCCATCTTGCCCTGTACCTGCTCTGATTGCTTCCCTTTGCCAGGATATCTCCGGGGTATCACTGCAGAGTATCCCCCACCCCCACCCGCACACCCAGGCACATTCTCCAGGGGTGCTGTGGCACTCACATCCCAGCCCAGCCTTACACCCCACAGTAGTCACTCAGACTTGACTGCATGCACCCAGAGGAGTAGTCAGAGCCAAAGCATTGCACCAGAACCTGGGATGCACTGGCACTGAACCCAGCCTCACCCATGAAAGCCACCAGGACACTTCAGCAGGAGACTAGAACTCATGAGCATAGGGTTTCAAAGCATTTTAAAATGTTGTTTTAAGGGACTGGAGCAACTGCATAGCAGGTAGGGCATTTGCCTTTCACATAACCAATCTAGGTTCGATCTCTGGCATCCCATAGGGTCCCCCAGTCCACCAGGAGTGATCCCTGAGCACAGAGCCAGGAGTAAGCCCTGAGCACTGCTGAGTGGGGTCACAAAACAAAACAAATAACAAAAAATAACCCACAAAAAAGAGAAAAATTTGTTTTTATTTTATTTTTTTTCCTTTTTGGGTCACACCCAGCGATGCACAGGGGTTACTCCTGGCTCATGCACTCAGGAATTACTCCTGGGGGTGCTCGGGGGACCATATGGGATGCTGGGAATTGAACCTGGGTTGGCCGCATGCAAGGCAAATGCCCTACCCGCTGTACTATCGCTCCAGCCCCCAAAAATTTATTTTTAAATAAATTTATTTTTGTCTGTTTTCTGTTTTGCTGCTATTGTTTTCTTTTGGGCTACATCTTTAGTAGTCAGAGATGACTTCTAACTCTGTGCTCATGAATCACTGGGAGGGCTCAGGGGGAATATCTTAGTGCTAGAGATCAAACAGAAGCTGGCTGTGTGCAAGGCCAGTGCCTTGCCCACTGTACTATCTCCGTGGTCCTTAAAACTAAATTTTTTATTTTGGCCTTTGGGTCATAGGTTACTCCTGGTGGTGGGATGGGATGGCAGGGGTTGAACCCAGGTCAAATAAGGCGAGCGTCTTACTGGCTATACTATCTCTCCAGCTTCTGTGGTAGATTTATTTACAATATATTCTCAGTAAATGTTTGACATGTAGACCTGTGGAAGGAAGAGGTCCTGCCCTGAGTCACAGAGCCCTCCACCCCTCCCCAGCACATAACAGCATTGCCAAGCACACCGGCTAAGGGTGCCCATCTCTTCCTTACCAGGTGACACTGGCTCAGAGCCATCTGACCTCTGGGAGCGGGGAAGCCCTGAGTGCTGGTCCAGTTCCTGAGGTGTCATTCTGGCCAGCCCCATCACCTGACTGACCGATTGGCCTGTCCTGTCGTCAGCCCAGCTAGCCAGGGCTCTGTTTGCTGCTGGACTGTGGGCTCAAGGAACAGGGCCTCCTTTCCCGGCCGACCCCAAGAACCCATGGGCGGCGGAACTGCGCTGATACAGCCCACAGGGCTCCAGTCCCGGCTTCCACTGCAGGCTCTGTAGGTGTGAGGAGCAGTGTCTGAAGGCAGCGCCTACCTGGATCAGGCAGGGTGTGACTCTGAGCAAGAGCTCAGGAGGGGGCCAGGACCACGTGGGGTGCTGTGCCAGGGCTTTCCTCGGGCACAGCAGCTCTGAGGCTCTGTGATCTGTCAGTGCAGCCCCGCAGGAGGAAAGGAAACAGGCCTCTTCTCGCTCCCTGGCCAGGAGTCGGCCGTGCCAGGGTGTCTGGCCTGCCGCCTCCTCCTGTGCGGCATGGCGGTACCCCCTGGCACGATGCATTTCTTCCTCATGAGCACAGTCATCACGTCTCAGCTCATGACCTCAAGTCAGCACCCTAGTCCTTGGGCTGCCCAGGCTCAGCTGTGTCCTCCCTGCCATGCCTGAACATCCCCTCAGGATCCCATGGCTGTGGCTGGTATTGTGGGGGAGGAAGGGGCAGCAAATGCACAGGCTCGGCCTCGGGTCAGCTGTCCTGAGAGTAGGCCTGGGTACAGGGGAGCCTTGAGAATGCAAGGGCTGCTGAGAATGGAAAGAATTTCTCTCTGGCTCCCTGCGAGAAGGGATACAGGAACTATCAAATCTAAAGACAGAAGCGGACAAGGCAGAGACCTGCCCAGAGGTCTTATCTGGGGGAAGGGGTGTGCCAGGTGCAGGGTTTGACTATTTGACCACGGAACCCTGGATGACACTGGATACAGCAGGGCCTGCAGCCACATCTCCTGATCCCTCCATGGCAGCACTCTGAAACGTTTTTTCCAGGGGCTCACCCCTGAGGTCACAGGGCCTCCTGCTATGGTCCCCAGGACTCTGAACCCACCTCTCCAGGGTGCAGGAGGGACTGTTCTGGGGATGGTACCTGGACCAGGTGAGGCGCAGGAGCCAAGGACATGGCTGGGAAGGATTCCGAGGTCACTGTAGTGTCTCCTCTGAGCCCCATGTAGGAGTAAGTGAAAATTGGGGTTCTGAAGCAGGCAGGCCGGTTGTTGGGGGGAGGGGGACTGGCACTGGCTTATTGGGACATAGACATAATAAGAAAGCAAGGTGGGACTCAAAGAAGTTAGTCTGTCATGAGGCTGGAGCTATACCACAGCAGGGCGGGTGTTTGCCTGGCAAGGGGCCAACCCAGGTTCCATCCGTGGTCCCCCGATGATCCCCTGAGTCCCGTCTGTGGTAATCCCTGAGTGCAGAGCCAGGAGTAAGACCTGAGCACTGCAGGGTGTGGTAACCCCCCCAAAAATTAAACCAACTATTTTACTTCACTATTTGTCTACTCAAATTCTTCATTATGAGGGCAAGATGATAGACCCACAAAGCCTGGGAAAGGTCTAGCACTAAGTTTCCTTTCCTGCCAAGAGTAATTCTTCTCTCCAGACCAGGGCTAGAGTTCCCTGAGAAATTGGGTGGCAGGGACCATCCCCTGCACCATGCAAACCAAGTAGCCATCAGGTGCGGCCTGCCGGCTGCCTCGCGGAGCTGGCAAGCCGTGAGCGAGGTTTGTGCCGCACCAGGCCCTGCCCCTCCCTGAACATCCAGGGGCAGAGGTGGAGAGAGAGAAAGGTGTAGTTTTCCTTCTCGAGGTGCTGGCTCTCTCCTCCCCACTTCACAGAAGTCACCTGGGACCCAGCAGCATCACTTCTTCACTGTGGGCTCCTCCTACCTGGAGCTGGACTTGACCCCATTGCCCCAGCTCTGTGTGCCACAGTGGGCCCAGGGGCTCCCCCAGATTCCAGCCATTGTTTGCCACCTCCTGTGTATCTATCAGGCTATCAAGACCGTAGGTAGGGGTGCGACAATATGGGGACAAAAGCCCTAAAAGGACACTTGGTTTGATTCTCAGTCCTGACCAAGTGACCAAGCACCCTGCTTGCTGCCCTTCCAGACCAGGACTTTTTAGGGTGGGGACCTAACTGGGTGGGGACATCCACACACTGTGGCCTGCTAAAGCTGGGAGCAACTGCTGTGGGGGCCACACACTGAGCTGAAGTTGAGAGTGGACAGTACCCACGGACAGCACCCAGCATGTGCATGGGTGCATGTGTGCGTGCG